ATACTGTACAGAGGGGTTACAATTACATGGGTAAGATAATGAGTACATTTCTTATCAAGCATTGTAGCCTCCTCCTTTGTTTCCCCTTCCCATCCCTTCATATCCTCCTCCCCCAACCCCTACCCCCACCAAAGTTGTAAAGTTTGTTTTTCGACATAACAACCTGTACATCTCATTGTTGCAATGGGTCCTCCTGTATCCCTGTTTTAACAATTTGTTTTTTCCCTTCCCCTCCACATATACCAACGTCATATATAGTGAAAGCAGGGGTTGTACCATGGGGGAGGGACATACAAGGCAACAAAGACATAATCTTATAAATATGTTAGAAACAATCGCACGAAATACCTCTCAATTTTTTTTGGTCAGTCGTGGGGCTTGAGCTCTAGGCCTGGGATCTGTCCCTGAACAATTCAGCTCAAGGCTCATGCTCTACCACTTGAGCCCTCGCGCCACTTCTAGTTTTCTGGTGGGTTTTTTTTTTTTATTGTGGTTAAGTGATTACATAATTTCCCAGATTTCACAGTATTGTGGAATAATGATGCTCATTTAAAGTCACAAGCTCATTCTAACTTTCCTGGAGCAAATTGTCTATCACGGTCTATAACATGTAACGGTGTACACATATACACCATACATGTGATCAGCAGCATGGGGATATTTAGTAGTGATTCAACCAGATGAATGGAAGTTCTTTGTTTCTTAAGTCCTGTTAATTTTGTCATATCACCTAACATTTTAGATTTAACATCCACTTATCAGGGAGACCATGTACTGTTTGTCTCTTTGCTCTTGGCTTACCTCGCTCAACATGATTTCTTCTAGCTCCATCCATGGACATGAATTCTTAAATATGACACCAAATGCATAAAAAAGAAAAAATAAACTGTATTTGACTAAAAATTTAAAGCCTATTGTGTATACAAAAGGTGTTATCAAGCAACTGAGAAAGGAACACTATTTGCAAAGCATATATCTGGGATCTGTATCCAGAATATACAAAGAACTCAACGATATAATTTTTAAAATGAGCAAAGAACTGTCTACATATTAAGAAGATATGCGAGTCACCAACAAATATGACAAGAAGCTTACATCATCAGCCATTAGGGAAGTACAAATTAAAACCACAACGAGATTGCATTTCTACAATTCTTTCTTGTTTTCCTTCAGTACCAAGGTTTTCACTGAGAGCCTGATGCTTGCTTCTCTTGCTTGCTAAGCTAGCACTCTGCCCCTTCAGCCACACCTCCAGTGTGACTTTTTGGTGGTTATTTTGGAGATGGCGTCTCCCAGATTTTTCTGTCTTGTTTGGCCTCCAGCCTGGATCCTTAGGATCTCAGCCTCCTCAGTACCTATGATTACAAGTGTGAGCCAATGGCACCCAGTCTCTTTTTTTTTTTTTAAGGAAAACAACGAGTGTTGGTAAGCATAAAACCAAATTAAAACCCTTGCACATTACTGGTAGGTATGTAAAATAGGGCAGCTGCTGTGGAAAATAGTGTAGTGATCTTCAAAAAACTAAATATAGAAGTACCATATGACCCAACAATTCCAGAATTGAGTATATAGCACAAAGAATTTAAAACAAGTACTTGTACAGGAATGCGTATAGCAGTACTGTTCCAAGATCCCACCTACATGTCCACCATGGACAAATGCATAAACTAAATGTAGCTTATGAATACAAAAGAATATTCTCTGCCATAAAAAAATGAAGTAGTGATATGTGTTTGATGTGGAGGAAGCTGACACCGAGGCACTTACATCCTGTATGACTTTATTTAAATAACACACCAGAACAGGTAAAAGGGAGAAGATGACGGTTGCTGGGAGAAGAGAATAGAAAATGACTGAGTAGAGGTTTTTCTTCTGAGGTGATAAAAATGTTTTAGAATTTGATCGAGTGTTGGTTGTAGAACATTGTGAACATATTAAATGAATTGTACTAGGGATACCGGTGGCTCACGCCTGTAATCCTAGCTAAGGAGGCTGAGATCTGAGGATCGCGGTTCAAAGCCAGCCCGGGCAGGAGAGACCGTGAGACTCCTATCTCCAATAACCACCAGAAAACCGGAAGTGGCGCTGTGGCTCAAGTGGTAGAGCGCTCGCCTTGAGCTGAAGAGCTGAGGGACAGCGCCCAGGCCCAGAGTTCAAGCCCCACGACCGACAAATAAATAAATAAATAAATAAAAATAAACTACTCAGAAAAAGCTGGTGGCACTGTGGCCCAAGTGTAGAGCACTAGCCTTACGCAAAAGAAGCTCCGGGAAAGCGCCAAGGCCCACAGTTCAAGCTCCAGGACCAGCACAATGAAAAGTAAAAATGAATGAATGGATTATACACGTCAAACTGGCTAATTGCCACATAAATATAACTTCAGTTTCAAACAAAATCAGTAGGTAATGGTTATTGCTTGTTATGCCAAGGTCGCAGGACCCCCGCAAGAAGACCACGGAGAGTCAGACTCTACAGCTGTTTTATTTAAACGGGCTGCAGCTCGGGCCTCGTCCTACACTCCAACACAGCGGAGCCCAGGAGGAGAGCCCCGAGCCAAGGATTTGCAGGTCTTATATAGGCACACAATCAACCAGGTGTTTTGATTACCACCACGTGTTGCTTTGCTAGACAGAAACAAGCAACAAGTGGTCACTGCCTCAAACTTTAACCTTTCATTGCTGACCTGATATGCAAATTTGAAACTGGAATCATTGAGGGAACTGAAGGAATAATTGGATCAGTGCAGGTGACATTAATTTGAGCATCTATCTCTCTGCAGTGACTGAGATCGTGCGGAACTCGAGAGTCTGGTGATGAAGCCGATAGCCACAGAGCATGGCAGCTGACAGCTTAGAAACTATGGAAGCACATCCACTATTCTGGGCAGTACTGATTGGGAGAGGGAAGTCCATAGGAGAGTTGGCCCACATACCACTGAAAAACAGCTTTGTCTGTCAATGGAGCAAGTTCCGACCTCAGAGATACAGAATTGGAGTAGAAGTAGGACTCCATACTGGGAAAATGGAGGTTCCACTTTAATGAAAGTCACTCTCTTTAGCTTCTACAGAATAGGCCTTCAAATGTAGGCATAAACCACCTAAATATTTGATTCAAAGGGATTTACTTAAAATTTGCTTTTTTTTTTTCAGGTCTGTAATTACCCTCATTTCTCAATTGGTTAATCAGCACCCGAAGGATGACTCTGGAACTGTATTACATGGACAGCTTAATAAGATGCTAATGCCAGCATGACAACGAACTCTCACTCTTCTTCCACACTTCAGAAAGTCCAGCTTACCTGCTGACCTGGAAGAAAAAATGAAAGCTTTTGTGATCACTTTATATGGGAGGAAACAATTCTACCTAAAGTAGATAAGAAATGAAATGGAAAGTGTTTACATACCCTTGGGGGTGGGGATTTCACACTGAAACTCAAATCAAATCTTTTATCCATTTAGATGTTTTCTTGGCTCTAAGTATCCATTAAATCAAATTCAGAGTGATTGAACCTAATAGGGATTTATTTGCCTTGTATAATTCTAAGACAGAGATAGGATGTTAGATCTCTTGCAGAATAATGCTATTAACCCTCCACCCACTTCCATTTTCCTTTTTCCATTCTACCTACTATCCCTGTGCTCATGATTTTGGACTCATGGCTACTAAGTGGCCACCACCATGCCAGACATCCTTTACTATTTGAAAGGTTTGGAGGAAAGGTGGGGAGGTCACCAGATCTTCTCAAAAACTTTACGGTAGACTTCCGCTTATTCCTCATTTGCAAGAACAGGTTCATAAGTCACCCCTCACTTCGGGGAGTAGAGAGACAATGTTTATTTAACATTTCCAGCCTCTTTAGTGAAGAGTTGGGAATAGAGAGGTAAGGGTTAGGAGTGTGTGTGTGTGTGTGTGTGTGTGTGACTGTCTCTTGAACTCACGACCTCATATTCTTGATTGGCTTGCTTGCTCTTGAGCCATACTTCCAGCCTGCCTTTGTGCTATTTAATTGGAGTTGTCATCTCCTGGGCTAGCTTCTAACCACAGTCCTCCAGGTCACAGCCCTTGAGTAGCAAAAAATACTGGCATGACCCACTAGCATGCAGCTTCTCAGCTGAGTTTATGCCGAAAATTCAAGACTATTAACAATGTATGACTCTTAAGCCGATTGTTTTAACCTACAAAGTGTGTACTTTCTTAAGTTTCCCTTCACTCAGGAAAAAAAAAACTGATGGTCTAACCTTAATAATGTGGCCTTTATTCTGTTCAATATAATTTTATTATTATTATTAAGGTGTGTACAGAGGGGTTACAATTTCATAATTTAGATAATATGTTCATTTCCCTTTCTTCTCTTTCCCCCAGTTTCCGCATCCTCTCTGCCCACAAGTTGCATAGTTCACTTATCACATACTATCTACTGAATACCATGAGTGACCTTTCTTTTTAGATCCTGGAAACTCTTTTTTTTTTGGGGGGGGGGTCCGGTCATGGGCCCTGAACTCTGGGCCTGGGCGCTGTCCCTCAGCTCTTCA